CTCATTGAATGTCACAAGCAAAAAAATACAAAGAAAATAAATAAATAAATAAAATAAAAAATGAATGTCACAAGAAGTTTCTCCCCCCTGGGGTGGAGACTTGGGTGGGACTCCAGGAAAGACTGTCCCTTGCTCTGTGGAGCCATCGGGCCCATATGCAGGTAGAAAGGCAGGGCCCACCCTTCACTCTTGGGGGAAACCTGAACACAGTCTCAGAGAGGGAAGTGAAAATACAATGTGATCGCACACACTGTTTCTGTGCATGATCATAGAAAAAGGAGGTACCTTTCAAGATGAACACGTGGTCATACATGCAACACGTGAAAAAAGAAGGGGCTTGCTGTATCTGTCATCAGAGCGGTGTCTCCCAGTCTCCCGGATGTCAGGGCTTTTTGGAGAGAAATGCTACTTTACTCTGTAACTTCAGGCTAACTGGTGTCCCCAGAATTGTTGTTTATTCTTTTGGAGTTCTGAGCAGCAGTTTTTTGTGTGCTGTTTGTTTTTGGCAGCGGCTGGTAAGGGGATCCAAACCCTTGACCTTGGTGTCACAACACCACGCTCTAACTGAGCTAACCAGCCAGCCCTGAGCAGCAGTTTTTAGGCAACACAGAGCTGGGGTGAAGGCAGGCAGGTAAACTGAGGACCTGGAACTTGACTGGCCCCTTTAGCTCCAAAGACCCACACGGTGTGACATTCCATCGAGAGCTCTGCAGAGAGCAAGGCCGATCAGGAGAGTGGAGTTTCCCAAGTGAGGCTGGGGAGATGGGCCTTAGACTGGAGGACAAGAAAAAAGTCCTCTCCGGGAGTTTGGTCTCAGAAACACAGCGAGGCCCTGGCTTTCCCAGTGCCTGTGGGTGGGGAAGGAAGTTAAGGCAGCCCAGCAGCAGGGGCCCCCGAGGGCTTGGGGCCTGGGAGATCTGCCCACGGCCACATCTAGCAGTAGTCAGTGGCCTACGTACTTCTCTTCCATTGTAACCTTCAGGAAAGTCTCACTCACTGTGCAGCCTGATGTTCCCATCTGGGCCAGGAGGGATTAAGGTGGGGGACTTAAACCATCTTTGGGCCCAAAGATCAAAGAGGAGAGTAAGGTCCCCTCCCTTGAGTTCGGGGTGAGGATGACAAAAGGGACCAAAAGTCAAGGACAGCTGCACCCAGCAAACAGTGCCCTCTAGAAGGAGGCATTGTGGTGGCCTGACAAGAGGTGGGTGGGCGTGAGGACCACGGGAGAGCCTCCCAGAAACAGCCAGAGGGCCTTCCGAGAAGGAACATGTTCCAAAGATCAAGCTTCCGGGGAGCTGAATATAATAAGTCCTGGTGTGGAAAACATGTTTGAAGGAAAAGCATGAATCTTTTGTCTCAATATTTTGTCTCCTTTCTTGAAAGAACCAATATGAGGAGGCCGTAGCATTCCTGCCAGAGCAAACACTGGGTGGAGAAGCCTGGCTGGAGGCCAGCGGGTCACTCACCACATTTCCCCCTCAAGTCTGTTCTTCTGACAGCCTGAGACGTGCAGATTTGATCCTACCAGGTGAGTCACTACTTTGGAGCCACTAGTACTTTGGCGCATTCCTAGCATATCCCAATTTTCCTAGTTCTCCTCTCCTTCTGGGCACACTGGGGACCACACTTCTCCCTGTCTCCATGAAGTGTGGCCATGTGACTTTTGTGGCCAATGAAGGGTTAGCAGCAACGTGTGTCACATCTGGGTGGAAGTATTTAAGAATTACGCGTGATCCTGCCAAGCTCTCCTGTGTTGCAGCAACCCCTGGAGCCTCAGGTTTGAATAACAATATCCTAAGATGGCGGATCATTTGTCAGCCTGAGTCCCTGAGTGGCTACAAGGAGCAGAGCCTTTCTAATGACCCTACATTGGACGTGCAGAATGAGCAAGAAATAAATCTCAGTAAGTCACTGAAGTTTGCGGGTTGTTTGTTACCACAGCATCATTTGGCCCATCCTGACTAGGACACATGATTTTGCTTAGCAGAAGCTATGGCACCTAACATTTCCCAAGGTGCTAACTAGCCAGTGGTGGGGTGAGAGACTTAATGAGCTCAAAATGGGAACTCTTCCCTCCCCGTTCTTTCATGAGACCTCATAATGGCCACAAATTCACTGCGAACTCATTCCAGGCAACTCTGGGTGTGTTTGGCAGTAAGGACCTCCCACGTTCCCAGAATTCTACTAGGCTGGGTAGCTCTATAAAAATTTGTCTCCCTGGAGGCTATTTCAGTGTTGATACTTGTTCAAAAACATTCAGCCAAGCAAAAAGCTGGCCATCCTGCCACCCAGGCAGAACTGGAGCAGCACTTTGAGGCTGACTCATGAACCTGCTGCAAATAGAAAGAAGGACATTCCTCTCAACGTGGTGTCTTGTTCCTCAGGAACCCAGGCTGCACGTCTGCTGTGCACTTCCATGGTTACCCGAATTTAGAGGTCTGGTCTCCTGGATCCTGATGATCCTCCCTCGGTTACCATGGCTACAACACACGGTTTGTGCAAACAGCATTTCTGATCTCATCTACTGCTTGCGCATTTGGAAAGTAAGGCATTTCGAGAACCAATTCACTTGGAAACATTAAAATCAATTAACGCGTTTAGAGTGTCTTGACCAAACAAAATAAGCCACAATGCAGGAACCTCATGTTCCTCCTACAGGAAAAAGAATGACTGTTTGAAAAATCATTTGACAACTGTTGAAATTTCTATAGAGAGTATATTTTAAGTAATCTCATAGTATTCTATCAATAATAAAGTTCCTGATTTTGATAATGGTATTGTAAGAGAATCTCCTTGTTCTTAGGAAATCACACTGAGGTATTTAGGGGTAAAGCGTCATGATGTTTGCAACTAACTCGAACAGTTAGTAGGAAATAATAATAATATGGAGAGAGAGAGAGAGAGAAAGCAAATATGGTAAAATATTAACAACTGGGAAACCTAGGCAGATGGCCAAAGTGTTCATTCTACTATGCTTGCGACTTTTCTGTAGGTTTGAAATTTTTCAAAATAAAAAGTCTTTTTAAAAAAAATCCCACATGCTCCAGATCAGTGGCTTTCAAAAGTTTTTAACCATAACCCACAAAAAAATTATACACAGCAACCCAGGACACACACATACATACATATGTAATTTGAACAAGTGTATACAAATTAAATAAAAAGTTTCACAAGACAACACTTACTCTTACATTACACGTGATGCTCTGTGACTTTTCTAATCACATTGTTTTATTGGTGGGGTTATTTTTGGCAGCTGGCTGGTAAGGCCTTCCAAACCCTTGCCCTTAGTGCTATCAGCACCACACCTATCATGTTTTGGGTTTCTTTGTTGTTTTTTTTTAAATGCTGGTCATTACCCATTAAATTGAGTCGATGACCACTAGTTGTCAAAACCATTAGAACACTCCTGCACTCGGTGGTACTTTCTGCAACATTTCTAATACTTAGTATTATGTAGAGACACAGAAGTACCATTGCTGTGAAGAATTGACAACTTGGTGCACCCTGAATCTGTGTGGGTTTTGAAAACCACCTTTTCAAATACAGAGAGGAACTCAGAACATTGAGAAGATTACGGATTTCCAGAATGTTGACAAATGCAGTCATCACTGCACACGGTGTAGAGTGAGACACATGGCACTTTTGTTGACTTGACCACCTCACGGTCCATCAGGAATTCGTGCTCGGCGTGACCAGCTCAGGATGGCTCCACTGCCAACTACAGAGATGGGCATGGCTGGACGGCAGAGCCAGCATTTGGGACACAGCCTGCATAGCCTACCCTTTCGGCCAGGGCCAAAGAGCTGCTGATGCTGAAGCCAACAGAACAGTCAATTTCTGCTCATTTCCACTGCAACCCTGAGCAAAGCTGGTTGGTCAGGGCTTCTGGGTGTGATGTGGCAGCCCTGCCCTCAGACACAGGAGGTCATGCACGCTCGCTGTAGGTGCTGGATGACCTCTGCTCTGGCATTCAGGTCTGGGTGCATACAGTTGGCCAACTCCCACCTTGAGAAATCTCTAAATCCCCCTTCCCAGCTACTGGCTGCCTCCTTCCCTCTTGGCCATTAATCAGCCTCAAAGTGTGCAGCCCATAATAATTTCCACACCTAATGCCCTGCTAACATAGAGACTATATCTTTGGGACACTCTTCCCACAAAACGCTAAGAAAAGAGGATTTTGTGGTCTCCTCGGAGATTCACAGTACATGTTAGCGTATGAAAGACTGAAAAGTCCTGCAGTAAAGAAACTGGTTTAACCTTTTTTTTCCTTAATTTTAGGATTTTACAAATTTATTTGACCACAAACTTACCCCACTGCCCCTTTTGTCCCTTACCTTGCCCTAAAGTTCTTTTGTGGGTAAGGCCACCCTGGAGTAACTGTGGAGTAAATAAATTGGATCTTTGTTTTAAATGCCTCCTAACACATCTCAGATCCCAGGAACGACCACCACCCCCTTGAGTCTAAATCTCTCTCCCATCTCTCTTCTTTTATGCCCTGTCCACCTTCCTAAACCCTAATGTACCCAGGCCCCTGGACAAGGACTGTGATAGAAAACAAAGGGACTGGGTTGAATGGGTCACCCTGCCAGGAGGACTGGCACAGCTCTGAGTACCTGGCCAATGAGTTGACTCTCTGATTCAAGCATTGCAGGCACTTTGCCTGGAAGATGGGGGAAGGGATTGGGGGAGCCCTGGGAGCTTCAGATTCCCAGCCTTCCCACCCGAGGGCCCATGTTCAGTCTTGCTTCTCTTTTCCAATGAATGCCCATGTGACAACAGCAGAAATCCATAACTCCCCCCCCCCAGGCCATTTCCCAGGGTTCCCCTCTGCCTAGGGTCATCTCTGGAGGCAAACTGTTCCTTCCACCCTCCACTGGCATTTTCACCACCAGCCCCCATCCTGTCCTCTCTCCCCTCACCACAAACACCACCAAGCCCAGTTAACCAAACTTCCCCCCTCTGGCCAAGGCAGTTTAGGCCACCCCCGAGTGGCAAGGTCAGCCCATCTGCATGCCAACCACCACGTGCCAGGCCACACTGAGCAAGAGACAAGAGGCGAGGAGAAAGGTGGTCTTGCGGCCCGAGTCTCCCACCCCATGGGCCGGAAGGCTGTCAGAGAGCGAGGCGTTGGCCAGCCCCCCAGTGGTGTTGGCCACCTCCTCCACTGGGGCCCTCGGAGCCAGCAGCTTGGAGAGGAGGCTGCTGAATCTGCTCACAGTGGTGGCCACAGGCGCTGGGGAGGGGCCTGGACTGGATGCAGTGAGGTTCAGCTCCTCGGGGTCCACACAGAGGCCATCAGAGGAGCGCCCGAAGGCCACCTGGCTGAGATCCAAGCCGGCCACGGAGCCTGGGGAGGTGCACGGCACGTCAGTGACGTGCCCGGGGCCCACCATCCAGTCCCGCAGCCACTCCAGGTGGCAGTCGCAGCGCCACGGGTTGCGGAAGAGGAAGAGGCGGCCCAGGAAGAAGCCGGGCTGGAAGGCGGCCCAGGCGAGCACGGTGAGGCGGTTGCCATTGAGGTGCAGGGCAAGGAGGCCTGAGAGGTTCTGGAAGGCGCCCTCCTCCACAAAGGTGATGCTGTTGCGGTCCAGGTAGAGCAGCTCAAGCTCAGCCAGGTCGGCGAACCAGGCGCGCGCCACGCGGCCCAGCACATTGCCTCCCAGGTTGAGCGTGTGCAGGTGGCGCAGGCCACGGAAGGCGTCGGCCGGCAGCTCAGCCAGCAGGTTGTCGTTGAGCAGCAGGTGCTCCAGGACGCTGCAGTCGCTGAAGGCGCCGGCGTGCACGGCGCGGACGCGGTTGGCCTGCAGGCTGAGCGAGCGCAGGCGCCGCAGGCCCTGCAGTGAGCTGGAGGCCACAGCCTCGATGCGTCCGCGCTCGAGGTGCGCATGCGTCAGGTTGGCCAGGCCGCGCAGCG